GAAATATCAACAGTGGATTTGATGCTGTGGCCTATACGTATGTTGTGCAGTGTGATTACATGAAAATAATGTAATCACAATAATAGTCCTCCATTGGCATTATCAAAAGATTGTTCAGATAAAAGGTTTTGCATTTATTATTTTACAGTTGTATCTTTGGAAAACAAATAAACAATCATCAAGATGGTTTAAAAGAAGAAAAAAAATAAGGAGTTGAGAGAACCTTGAGAGAGTTGAGAGTACCATTATTATGTGAGTTGGGATGTAGCAATTTATAATATTTTGTTTTTTAATACATTTTGTGTTTAAAATCCTGCAGGCATAAACATCGTATGTATATTCCTTCCTTCCTACTGAGAGAATGAGAGGTTCCAATAAGGTTTGAAATCACAATATAATTAAGATAAGAGTTGCTGTGTTGCTGTGTTGTGATCCACTCAGCAATGTCCATCTTTGTTTAGTCCAAACAGAGTGAGCTGTCAGTATGACTGTAGCGGTGACAGGACATCTCACAGAAAACAAAAGTGTCAGATCATATTTAAGAAGCGTTTCCTCCAATAACAAATACAAACGTACAATAAACCGCCATCTTCCCAGACAGGAGATACAGAAGACAGTGGTGCCATTTAAACCATTGGAATCAATGGAAACCTATTTTGCAAAATGCAAAAGGATTGTGATAGAACAACACACGAGCTCTAAACACTAGTATAATTTTCAATAGGGAATTGTTTAGTATTACAACTAAAGTAAGGCATAGAATTTCAAGTCACGCATGCAATTTAGGTGAGAAAACGTATTTTTTTTTGTCTAAATATAAGTTCAATGTAGTTCAGGCTTCTTATTAAGGAAAATACATTTGAATGGATAGCTATATATTTTAGCTTTGGAAGAAAGGGGAGCTAGGTCCTACTCACACTGATCTGGGCACAGATGCAAACATGCATTGGAAATAGTAGAAATAGATCTCTGCTAAGGGAATATAGGAGGTTCTTTTATAGAGGTGCCATTGTGTTATTGAACAGAGCGACAAACAGACCCTCCTCATACAATGGCATGTCTTAGCAAGAGTAGCAAGGGAATACCAGTAGATTCTAACTATGTCGTTTGCTACAACATGCCCCCAGTCCCTCCTCAAATTTCCCAAGCTTTGGCATTTCACTATGTCAAAACTGTCATTTAACAGTATGGCAGTGAATAAGCCCCCGCAGCATCATGTCACTATTGTAGACATGTGCTTCTGCTGATAAGTCGCCTGGGTTATAGAAATGCAAACATCAGGGTAACTAAGAAAGCTGTAACATGAATGGTCAGTACTGTGCAAAAGATATGGTGAGGTACATGGAAAATAAAATGTTGTATATGCATTACATACATGTTTGGAAAGCATAATTCTGAATTATACAACAGCGCAGCACGGGAGCACGGTTCAACTCTCAGGTGTAACTGACCTCCGTTGGGGAGTTTTCCTGTTCAATTTGTAAGATCTACTGCTCTTGAAAGATTGCCCTAGTGGCAATGCAGGATAGATTAAGGTTCAGGTTCAAGTACAAGTGCACTTTATTTATCCATAGGGCAATTTTGTCCTCTGCATTTGACCCATCCTTTCAATGCAACTAGTCAGAATTGGTTGTTGTAGTACGATGCCCGGGACCGTCTCCAGCTTGGTCAGAATTATTGAAGCTGGATTTGACTGTAGATGGAAGGGGAAACCGGAGGACTCCTATGCAGACACCGTGGGAGTTGAACCCAGGAGCTTCTTGCTGAGATGTGAGAGTCCCAACCACTCAGCTACCTTGCCACCCACTCTATGCTAGGATAGACATTTCAACTTTTCAACAAGGTATTTCTATCTTATACAAGTGAAAAGATTGGCATCCTCAGTTGCCATTAATCATAATCAATTTCACTCAATGATAATATATCAATCACCTCACTCTTTCCTGACAGAGATGTTTGTGTTTGACTTTTGCACAGTACTGTCAAATGATTTTCCAATATCAACGCTGCAGACCGGCGGTAAAAGAGACTCTGACAGTACAGTATTTCACATATACACACATATTCCAAAGCTCTGTAAGCTATTGTAGATGTAGAAAAATATATACTTCAAGTTAACTCTGCTTATATATACAGTACATGTATGGCTTTATCATAGTGTCATGCACAAAACTAAAACAAGCCTGAAAGTTCAGCTACCTGAGTCAAACTGCTTAATGCTCTATTTCTTAAGGAGAGACTGTTGTTTGAATAAAGTGAATGGACTTTCTCAATGTTATATATACACAGTCATATTATGATTTGGTTCACAGTGTTGAGGGGGAGAAAAGCGCTTGTGTGAAAGGAATGCAGAGATGACAAAGAGAAAAAAGAGCACAGACTCGCAGAGGCTATTAGATTGGGAGATGGACAGCAAGAAAAAGTTAAGCCATTGGACAAGAGAAAATGTTCACGTTAAGAGGAGTATGGATTAGGACCTTGATGGATTTTAGTGCTTCTCAAAGCTGTCTCAATTTTTTTGTTTCCTATTTGAAAAGTTTTGATTAAAAGAGAAGTATTTGAAAGTGGTTTAAACACATTGTGACTGAAACACAAGGGTTGCATAACTGATTGAAGATGTACCAAATTCAAAAGTACTGGGGAACAATCTAAGATAAAAAGTCACAAAGAGAAAGGTAAAAGGTTTTTTTTAGGTGCAGTATGTAAGATTTTGTTTGTATGACACTGGCAAAAAAAGATTTAAATCAGTGTTCCCCAACCTTTTTTAAGCCATGGCACACCTTTATCATTGAAAACAATCACATGGCTCACCACCAGCTGAAACTGATTCAAGCATGAAGCTCTGCACCCATTATGAACAAAATATCAGAGAAGAGAAAAAAGTATTTTCATTCTTCTCACTCTATTTTATTTCTACAATATTAGGTCAAGGATGTGAAGGATTTGTTTTGTTTGTGTTTGAAGCTAATTTGTGGATATTTGTATTATTTTTTTTACGTGATGAAGGTATTTTGACAAAAGAGTTACTTTGATTTTACCTGAATTTTGAAATTATTTTCAGATTGATTTTTCTGAACATAACTTGTTCAATTGTTGTGTTTTGGGCTGAACCAAAACTTGGTTAAAGTTAAAGAATTGGGTAATGATTTATATATTTAAATGATAATAATTACATGTTAGAATGCCTAGAATACATAATAAATTAGATGTAACATGCCATGGTAACTCATATTAACCTTACCATCAATCATGCAAGTTCATAGTAATAATGTAAAATCATTTCAGAAGCTTTCACCTGAGAATGAGGTGATATTGGATAATTTCCAAAGGCACACTCAACAACATCTCAAGGCACACTAACGTGCCACCGCACACTGGTTGAAAAACACTGGTTTAGATTGAAGTGCAGAAACTACCTCCTGATCTTAAACGACAGATGACACTTACAAAAGTTAGTGTCTTTCTTTTTCTTTACTTTGGTTAATGATCAGAAGACCAATGCTCATATACTTCTCTTTTAACTTCACATCAGGGTCTTTGTCCAACCCAGGAAATATTGTGAGCTTTAAAAACTATATGATATTAGTTTTGAAAAATATATGATAAGTAAAAGATAAACCTACAAAAATAAGTCATTTACACCCTTTACCTTCACCACAAGTTACAGGATATATTTTAGATTTCCAATCTAAATATTGATATGAGGGTTATAAAAATACTATATTGCCCACCAGTATGTTCTGGCCATTTGTATGTTATTATTATTATTTTTTTTTTTACAACAGTTTAGCCAAGAGAAAACTGCCAATTACAACAAAATTTTAACTTAGTTACACATCCATCCAATATTGGCTTTACTGAGATCAGTGGGGACTTTCAACTTAGCATTTTAGATTATAGCTTGGCCTAAAAGATCACTGTCAGTAAAAACAAAACACTCTCAAGCCTCCCTCCTTTTGTATTTTTTGAGTTAACTTAAATTATGAAATAGTCACTATCAGGACACGGAAACAAATCTGACCCTATATACTACCAGAATGGATTTCTACACCAATTTGTCCTTCAAAAACCTTGGGTGTATTAAAAAAAAACAAGATAAAGTTTGCAGAGAAAGCACATATTGCTGTTTCAGTTCAAATCTACTGTGGTGTTTGAAGTCAAAATAAGATGTTTGTTTTTACACCTGAGCAAAGCTAAAATTAACAATAGACAGGCCCATGTTAAAAAGAGTCATTAGTACAGAGGAAACCTTTATCATTTGTTTTCACAGACAGCTCTAAAGAAAAGAGAGCACAGAGTGGGACGGGCTGTTTTACCCTTTAAGTCAAAGTCTTTGGCCGCACCAGCATGTTCGTCGCTGATAAGAACCCGGGTCCCCTCTCGCGAGAAATGGATTTTTATTCTTTCACTCTGCTTTTTCCTTCATCTGAACTTCTGAAGCTATGAGTATATTCTGTGTCGCGGAAGTGACAAAATCAGCTACATCACAGGCATATTGATCTCCTCTTTAACCTAAGGGTTGACACTTCACAATGTCAAGGAAAACAAAACAATTCGCACAATCAATGGAATGTATACAGAGATGGTGCAACAATGCATGAGAAGTATGCATAGATCAGTATGTGCTGTATCATTCGCTGCTTCACACTTGCTGCCGTATTCAATAAGCACTTTCAAATACAGTGGCAAATCTCCAGCCGTAAGGAAAACATGGCATGCTTTCTCTGCACTGTGCGATAGTAAACAAGTTTACTGGCTGCAGACTAACACTGATGTAGGAGATGTCTATTTGTTCTGAGTCAGCTTTGAGGTTAAACATTGGGTTTTCTTACTGCTTCTTATTCTTCATGCTGTCATACACAGACACACTGTTACCAGTACCCCCAAAGGCTTGCATTTTCCACCTATACAAAACTGGCTGCATGCATACATGTTTCACTGTGTTCAAAGCTATTTTCTATGGTGCTCAATGCTATTCCTGCAATATTTCAGTAATATTTCTACCTGGAGTTACTGGTCTCTGCTAGTCTGTTGTTCATGATTCCAAGCGCTCCCACCCCCCCAGAGAATTCATTGTGCCTGGAGCTGCCGCAGACAGTCCTGGGGTACCCATTGGCCGATTCTGACAGCTGCTTTTGCATTAGGGCCAGCGACACTTTGTTTGACGCTGCAAGGTCTTTCATGGAGATCATCTCTCCTGATAATCGCCTCCCCTCGGTGTCACTATCACACGCTCCGTCTGAGTCTTGGCCTAAGCGGCTCTGGCGCCCCTTGGAGCCTGGGCGAATTGCATTACGTCGGCCCAGAAAGGCGTTGGCTTTATTGCAACGCTGACAGAACAAACAACTCATTTTCTCGAGCATCCAGTTAAGCACCTGCTTGATGACAATTGAGATGACATTGAACAAAGAGTAGATGCAACAGACTCCCATCAACATGAAGAAGAAGTTTGCTACTCGATAGATGCTTTGGTTTTCATAAGCAGCATTCTGACTGCTCACAAAGTCCCCAAAGCCGATGGTGCTGAAGGTGACGAAGCAGAAATAGAGGGAATCCAGATAGGCCCAGCCCTCCACCGGGCTGTACATGGCAGAGGCGCAGCAGGAGATCGTGATGGCAGATATGCCTAGGATCAGCATCACATGGTACACAGACGGCTTCCACCCAGGGAGGGAGTAGATGGAGAAGTCATGTTTTATCCCTGGAGGCAGCAGTCCACTGTTCCTTATGCGGCGCTCCCTCACAGCCTTCATGACCACTGCCAGCAGTGTGATGATCCGTTCCAGGAACAGATTAAAGAACAAGATGGTGGCCGCACAACCCAGAAGCCCGTAAAAAATAAGGAACACCTTTCCTGCCACTGTCACCGGAGTCGTCATCCCAAAGCCTGCAAAGAGAAACAGAGTGGAGACAGTTCAAATCAGGGCAATGTCTTATCTGCATCTACGCATAAGCCCTCCCCAGTCTTAGTTCGCCCCAAATGATTCAACGACTAATGAGGGCTATGTAATGAGCTCTAAATCTTAATTTACCATTTCTGTAATGAAAGATTTATTTGACGGTGGATCTTGACTGGAGTGCCTCGAAACAGAAACAGAAAATATGGAATAAATTATTGTAACAGCTTGATGTTAGGCTGTAATCTTTGCATAGAAAATGTAAAGCACAAGTAATGAACAGCCAGGACGATAAAAAGGAAAATCTTATAGACTAATTACAAAATAATGTTTGCATTGCAAATTAAAGCTCTGCATTGGAGGCTAAAATACATAAGGGAATACTATTATAATATTATTATTATTTTTTAACGCAACAGAAGTAATTATGGCTAAAATACATTTTGAAAACAGACCAAATAATGCATTTGTATATATTTTGACTTTCACCATCCCAAGACCTAATTATTAAATAAGAACTGTGTTTTTGAATAATGCTTTGCACATCATTGGTATTTAGGGGGGGGGGGGAAAAACAACAAGGACATAGAGGTTACAAAACCAGCATCAGTGCCAGGAAGGCTTAGATGCAGTGAATCCATTTTTGTGTGCTGGCCTTGCGATATCTTGTGATGTTTTAGTCGATTAGACAGAGTGTTCAGGCTGGGACAGGGTTTAGGAGAGAGGGGGACGCTACGAGATGTTTTTAATCTTAAGGGTGTCACAGGTGCACTGCTGACTTTGCACCACAGCTGTAGGCCTCAAGTGTTTAAGTGTATCTGCCTAAAACACATTATTCTTTCATCCGAAATGATCAAAAGGCCTTAACCCAACTGCAGGCTTCTTTTGGTGTTTACAGAAGTACATTTCAAGAAAACTGAGAAGGCAATAAAGTTCAAAGCACTAGTGGCTTCAGTTGGGGAGGTAAAGTTTCAATTGGATCAGAGGAAAAAACCAACCTGTACAATTTATTTGACATTATTTTATTAATTGAAGGTTAATGCACTTATAATAAAGCTAGGGAACCTGATTTCTAAACATGGAATTGTAGAGCAATGTAACAACTAACTAGTTCCTAGATGTTTAAACAGTTTGACACATGTTTTTAGTTACTGCTGTCACAGCTTTAGATTTGTTTTTCCTGACAGAAAGATTAAAAGTAAATAGGAGGATTTTTTTACATCCAGGTGGATAATCAAGAGTATCGCTCCTCCCAATTGTCAATCATTCTGGCATCATGTGCTCATCAAATAAGACCAGAGACTTTTTTTCAAAAAGTGGACTTCTTTTCTAAAAGAAGCTCCAGACTGGTAGACTACCCACGCTACCGCACCAGCCTTGCCACTTCATTCCTCAGTCTTCAATCACCTCATCTTTGTCAACTCCCCTGCCAGCTGTGCCAATCAAGCCAGCACTTAAAAGTAGGATACTTCATACCAAAACCAGCCTTTCAATATGTAACCACCTCCTCCCCACTCGCGGGATTTTATCACCCACGCTCACATCCACCTTGCCCTGTTGCCACCACCAGTGCTTAGGCCCCAAGCTCATAATCTGTACTCAAGCATCGATCCTCACAGAGCAAGGCCATAGCTGGGGCCTATGCACCAAATTAATAAACAACAAATAAACTTGCAATAACATTTTTTAACACACTTGTCTCTTGTAGCCTCTCCAGACTGAATTGCCATTGAAAGAAGCAGGAAGTCAAACTAGGAATTTGCTATGGCTCAAATGCAAATAAAAAAGTTTTAAAAATTATGTAAAGGCACACATACATGCACAAATAAAAAACAATTACTACTATACACAAGTACACTAAGTACACACAATAGACATTTAACAGCGTGTAAAGTGTCAAAAGTAAAAGGTGATGGTCGTGAAGGGCAGGGTTCAGTGATGAGATATTAAGTGTTCATGAATTCGACTGCAGAGGGGAAGAAACTGTGGAGGTAAAAACCTCCACATCCTTAACATATGATTGACGAAAAGGGGTGCAGCATTTCTCTCAATTACTCAACCAGGTCCTTGTGAGTGACTGTGGCGCAGGATTTATGAGCCATAACATTATAAAACAATGTCTGGCAAAGACACAGATGGACAGCGAGACACAATGTCACCGCCCTTATCCACCGGCAGATGTTATATTTGTCAACAAATAAAATCGTGCTGAAAGATCAAGCAGTTCACTTCCAGGCCAAGGTTAAATGATTTTTCCATCATGGCCATCCTCCATTTTTTTGTCTGAGAGCATTAGGACAACACTTTTCATGTGTTTTCAGTAACCATCCTTGTCAGGTAATAAATGACATCAATATCTGGGCAATAGTTGCTTTATGATGCCCAAAATGGCTGCTCTGACCTTATCTGTCCCAGTGAAACCACTCCGCTGTGGCTCTGCTGTTGACACACCAACTCATTTAGATCCCTGTGGATTGATATGGATTGTTTTATAGATAGCCCCTTGTGTCCATATACGTGCACACACATTAAGACCATATATCCACTGCACACCCTGTATGTCCAAGCAGCTATACGGAAACAAGAAGTAAAGATTGTTTAGGGTAATATTTCTAGTTCCTTTTTGGATATATCATGGGATTTAACTGTATAGCTGACTTCACTTAAATTGAATATCATTGCAGTGCTTCTTCTTCTGATGAGTTTGATGATCGACAAACTGTGAAAGCCATCTCCAAAACAACATTTAACTGGAGTAGGCATTATGGTGTATTGATACAAATCTGAGAAGCAGCCTCAAATGTATTCTTGCCCTTCTAATTAGCACATCAGTGTAGTGAACTGCATATTGATTCAGGCCGAGTGTTGCTTATTAATTCATAGTAAATTGCATTCTCACAAGTGCTTATAACAATAAAAAATCTAGTTATCTTTTATCAATTCACAGTTTATCTTCATAAGTTATAATAAGCCCCAAAGGCATGTATAGTTTTTAAACTTGCAAATGAATAATGTGAAACCAAGCCTTGCCTATTGATCCTATCATGTATCAAAGTGCAGTTTTATGCTCTTTGACACGTGTGTGCCAATGCATGTGTCAACAGAGTCTGAAGAATGAGCTGTTCCTATGGATTTTCCTGCGGCACCTAACAGTGAATCTACAAAAACAATGGCCCTATGCTTCCTGAACATAAACACGAGCACACGAACACTGACACAACAACCCCTGAAACTCAATCATTCTAAATTGATTAAATAAAGAAATATATAACTAAATATCAGTGCTTGGGTCTAAATACTTAGAGGAGAGAATTTAGAATAAGGCTCAAGATCAAAGTGGAAAATATGTTTACAGACTTATACAACGTTATTCATTATTTTAGATGTAACTTGAATGTCCATCAATCCATCCATTTTCTTCCCCTTAATCCATTTCTGGAGCAGGGGGGTGGCAGTCAGAGCTGCACCCAGTACACATAGCACTAGCCCCTCACTGATCCTCCTGCAGGTGGTGTGTCCACTTGAATGTAGATAGTGATATACTACCAATTGTATTTCTTTAAATTAGTTACTTAAGAGTGGAGGCACATCTGAGGGCCACTTTGCATCTGAAGTGCGCAGCTCCACGTTTATCAATGGAGAAGCCATTCAACCTTGGATTGTGCGCGTTAAACTCTTCATGACAGCCCTACTGGGAATGTAATTGTTCCTTCAGGCTACAGCTGATCAGGGAAAACGTGAGATTTTCCAAAGTATATTTGAAAGCACATATTAACTGTGTTTCAGAGAATGCGTTACTTTATACGAGACAAAAACTTCCAAAGGAACATCGTTTTACTGGACAATACGCTCTACGCCCGTGGCCATTCGAGAAAATCGGATGTATTACAGTAGGTCCCTCAAAACAATCAATGATTGCTTTCAAAGTTCTCAAAGGTTCCTGGTACTCATAACAAGATAAATACAGCTGATTTGAGAGCTTGTGATCACTGTTCTTCTTGTTCTTAGACCATTTTCCTAACTTGGAAGTATATTTTATCTGAAAATATATTTTTAATGTACATTTGATATATTGCCTTATAGCATTTTTTGGGACTCTCAATGTTGCTTCAAATGGATTGATTAATCCACTCCATACACAATGGCTGTAAACTACAGCTGTAGCAACAGCTGCCATGGGGCAGACTAATAGAATCGAGCCAACCAGTATGTGCCATCAGCCCCTCCAATTTCCACCAATCATTCAGTGTTCCCAGGGGTCTCCCATCACAGTAAACTAACCAGACCTTGTCCTGCTTAGCTTCTGAGGTCTGATGGGATCAGGCTTTGACAGGCAGGTGATGCCACAACTTTCACACAGCATTCACACTATGGTAGTAAAAGATCATTCAGCATCTAGCTGTGCGCAACACAGTTTTTGGCCATATAGTGGGTTTTACTGCTCAAAACAATGCTTTTAAAACAAGCCCGGGCCAAGAATTGTCATAAAAATCCTGTCTATCACTTCACTTTAATCTCACAGATATGTAAAATCAGGCATCATACATAAAACGAAAATCCTTTAGAAACTGAATAGGCAAATGTCATGTCTGACACTTAATAAATATAAAACTTGTATATCAAAATTAATAATAGAAATAGTTATGAATTGTTTGTATTTTGAATTTTGAGGCAAAGAAGAGATGTTTTTTTCTTTCTATCATCACAAGCCTATTAATTATACATGCAACATTCCATCTTCATAAATAATCAAATACCTGTGTTTACAACAATATTTGACCCATAAAAAAGCTTCAAAGAACAACGTGAGGTTCCTTGCTCCACTCGTGAATACTACTATGTCTTCCTTCCACTGTGTCCATGTGTAGCATTGGTACAGTCCACACAGAAGAACTCTAGCCTACTGCGTTAAAACCCCCATAGTCAGCTGTTACAGTTCACTGTCATCCTCGGGACAGAGGATCTCTGACCTAGAACACACT